CTTTCCGTCGAATGGTCTTGATGTCTGCAGTTTTAAAACGTGCGCAAACTGCGACTGAACTTGAAGTGCATCTAGTGTCTTCTCTTGCTCAGGTGAAGGCTGCTGGCGCGGCATGAAGCTGACGGAGCCGCGCTGAGGTTCGTACGGGGCGAAGGTAGGTTGTTGCTGATTTCCTCGTGCGTAAGATGAACCGTCGAGGCTCATCGGTGTTGCGTTGTTGTTGTTGCTGTTGTTTGACTGTGCAGGTGCCCCTTGCTGGTGTTGTTCGTAGAAGGACATGAAGGAGAAGAACTTCTCCATCATGTCTGGGTCGAAGGCCGCGGCTTGATTTGCGGGAGTTTCTGAAGACGTTGCTCTTGGTCTTGTTGCCGTACCTTCGTCTGTCTGCAGGCCAGAGGCAGGAGGTGGAGTAGGAGTAGTACCGGGAGAGCCGTTAGAGGAGCTTCTCTCCTTCTGCGTTGCCATGTCTTGTGATGTTGTGGGTGTCTTGGTTGTAGTTGAATTGGTCCTGACTGCTCTGATACCATGTTGGGCTGAAAAAGCCCTTAGGATCTTTGCAGGACTAAATTCAAGGGTAGAACAATGTAATAGCAGAAGCGTTAAGTAAAAGGCTTGTGAACCACCTTGCGCTAGTATGTGAGGGCAAAGTAGATTGATTAAAACAAAGAGATACAAGCTTTTATAAGGATACAAGGAATATGAAGAGATATGGTTAATAACCGTTTTACTGTTGCTGTTGCGGTTCGATACAGTGTCGACTCGGGCAACTGCTCAGTAGCGAGTCAGTTGTTTGTCCTTGCTGTCACGCTGTATTTGTCAGGTCAAAGGTCGCTGACCTTTGACTTTCGCGTAACCTCCAGCAGTTGTTCAACCTCCGAGGGTTGACTCGCTGATGCTTCGATATGTTTCGCTTCGCTTCTGACTTGGTGTTTCGACACGACAGAGGCGCTTAAATCAATTGTTTCCAACATTATGGACTTACAGGGGAAGGGGAGGGGATCGTGGCAGAAACAAAGAGTGAGTACAGTACAACAATTTCAGGCTCGACTCGAAAATCAAACCATAGAGTGAGTACAAGTTACGGTACAGTCGCCACTGTTATGGTAGTTATTGTTGGGCTGAAAAAGTCCTTGGATCGTTTCAAGACTAAACTCTCAGAGTGATGATTTACTTAGCGGAAGCGTAATAGTGGATTGATTGAACCACCTTGTACCGTATTCAGGCCCCTAGAAGTCAGAGAAATTTCTCTGATTTGCCTAAACTCTAATATTTCAGCCTTTTTTCGAAGTGAACTCAGAAAATTCAGCCTTTTTTTTTTAGAAAAAAACAGGAAAAATGCTATTTTTTCTAGTGTGCAGTGGTATTTATGCAGGAAAAACTCTGATTTTCAGAGTTAATGCATGTACCAACTCTGAATTTTCAGACTACCCCAAAACCAATCTGAGGGCCTGACCGTATTACCCCGGATAGAAGCGCACCTGCGCTTATAATAAAGCAGAGTTTTTTAGGGGGGTGCGCTTCTAGTTGAGTCGTTTTTATAAGCACATGCGCTTATATAATGACAGGTACAGATATATGATGTATAGCATCAAAATGTACATCTCAGTCGTACCATTCCAATCGAGGCGATTTTTTTTAGCGCCAGGAATCAAAATCGCGCGCTACCGATTTGTTTCCAATACACAGGGGCAAAGACACGTCAGCTTGCCCCTGTGCCAGCACATCTTGACCTGTCGCGCAGCTTGTGATGTCTTCGCGAGTCAAACGAAGCGATTAAGAAATTAGGCACGCTTCAATTTTGAAACTCGTTACTGTGTTTAGCAGGTTTTAAATCAAAAATTATGCATGCGCTTATAATAAAACAGGGTTTTACAGGGGGTGCGCTTATAATTGAGGATCGGCCATAAGCGCATTGCTCCAGATATAAGCGTATGTGCTTTTAATAGGCTTGTGCTGGTGCTGCAGATCCCCTCCCCCCCACTGCTGCACCCGCAGCAGGGGGAGGTAGGAGGCGGGGGGGGGGGGGGGGCTGGTGCTGCAGATCCCCTCCCCCCCACTGCTGCACCCGCAGCAGGGGGAGGGAGGAGAAGGGGGCGGGGGCTGGTGCTGCAGATCCCCTCCCCCCCACTGCTGCACCCGCAGCAGGGGGAGGTAGGAGGCGGGGGGGGGGGGGGGGGGGGCTGGTGCTGCAGATCCCCTCCCCCCCACTGCTGCACCCGCAGCAGGGGGAGGTCGGAGAAGGGAGGGGGGGGCGGGGGGGGGCTGGTACTGCAGATCCCCTCCCCCCCACTGCTGCACCCGCAGCAGGGGGAGGTAGGAGAAGGGGGGGGGGGGGGGGGTGGGGGGGGCTGGTGCTGCAGATCCCCTCCCCCCCACTGCTGCACCCGCAGCAGGGGGAGGTAGGAGAAAGGGGGGGGGGGGGGGGGGGGGGGGGGGGGGGGGGCTGGTGCTGCAGATCCCCTCCTGCCTCCCCCTGAACTTCCAAGCTCCCCCCCTCTCCCAACACAAGGTGCGGCAGGGAGAGAGAGAGGAGGAGGCGCGGCGGCAGCTGCTGCTGCTGAGGCACATCCGCCACCCCCTCACACCCTCTCCCCCCCGTCCCCATGGAGGGGGGGGAGGGGGGCGGGGGCGGAGCTGCGCGTGCGACTGCAGGGCACGCGGGCAGGAAGAACCCCCTCTTGCCACCCCCTTACCCTTCATGATGCGACAGGGCACCGGGGCCGCGGCTAGGGGCGACAGGTTGCGAGGGGCCGAGGCTAGAGGCGACGGGGCCGCGGTTAGGGGCTGCAGGTCGCGAGGGGGCATAGTTAGGGGCGACGAGGCCAGTGGGGCCGAGGGGCGCGGCTAGGTACGGGGCCGGGCGCTGGGCTAGGGACGGGGCCGGGAGCTGGGCAGGTACGGGGCCGGGCGTTGGGCGCGGAACGGGGCCGGGCGCGAGGCTAGGTACGGGGCTGGGCGCGGGCTAGGTACTGGGCCAGGCGTGGGCTAGGTACGGGGCCAGGCGCGGGCTGGGTACAGGGCCGGGCGCGGGTTAGGAACTGGGCCGGGCGCGGGGCTAGAGACGGGGCCGGGTGCTGGGCAGGTACGGGGCCGGGCGCTGGGCAGGTACGGGGCCGGGCGCTGGGCAGGTACGGGGCCGGGCGCTGGGCAGGTACGGGGCCGGGCGCTGGGCAGCTACGGGGCCGGGCGCTGGGCAGGTACGGGGCCGGGCGCTGGGCAGCTACGGGGCCGGGCGCTGGGCAGGTACGGGGCCGGGCGCTGGGCAGGTACGGGGCCGGGCGCTGGGCAGGTACGGGGCCGGGCGCTGGGCAGGTACGGGGCCGGGCGCTGGGCAGGTACGGGGCCGGGCGCTGGGCAGGTACGGGACCGGGCGCTGGGCAGGTACGGGGCCGGGCGCTGGGCAGGTACGGGGCCGGGCGCTGGGCGGGTACGGGGCCGGGCGCTGGGCGGGTACGGGGCCGGGCGCTGGGCAGGTACGGGGCCGGGCGCTGGGCAGGTACGGGGCTGGGCAGGTACGGGGCGGGCTGGGCAGGTACGGGGCCGGGCGCTGGGCAGGTACGGGGCCGGGCGCTGGGCGCGGAACGGGGCCGGGCGCGGGCTAGGTACTGGGCCGGGCGCGGGCTAGGTACGGGGCCGGGCGCGGGGCTAGGTAGGGGGCCGGGGCGCGGGCTAAGTACGGGGCCGGGCGCGGGCGTGATACGGGCCGGGCGCGGGCTAGGTACGGGGCCAGGTGCGGGCGACAGACGGGGCCGGGCGCGGGCTAGGTACGGGCCGGGCGCGGGCTAGGTACTGGGCCGGGCGCGGGCTAGGTACGGGGCCGGGCGCGGGCTAGGTACTGGGCCGGGCGCGGGCTAGGTACGGGGCCAGTCGTTGGGCGCGGAACGGAGGCTGGGCGCGGGGCTAGGTACGGGGCCGGGCGCTGGGCAAGGGACGAGGCCGGGCGCGGGCGTCGATGGGCGCTGGGCTAGGAACGGGCCGATCGCGGGCTAGGTACGGGCCGGGCGCGACTAGGGGCGACGGGGCCAACGGGGCCGAGTGGCACAGCTAGGGGCGACGGGGCCGAAGGGGCCGAGCCTAGGGGCTAGGGGCGACGCCAAGGGGCAACGGGCCGAGGCCTAGTCTAGCAGGGCATTAGGTGGTGGCCCCATTGATGTGAGGTCCTAGGAACGACCTACTCTGATAGCATGTTAGAATCCTAGCGTGACTTAGGCTTAGGAGCCATGGCTAGGGTTCGAGGTACTAGCATGGATGTCGAGAGAGTTGAGTATCGAGAGAAAAGTCGAGAAAGAGAAAATGAGGAATGAGGATGATTTCACTAGCAAGAGTTGGGATACAAATAGCAAACCCTAAATTGGGTTGTACTCACTACAGAGTACCCCACTGCAGGCTAGACAGCAAATACATTCTAACACTTCTTTCCTTCTGTGTTTCCATGTCTTCTGATGTTGCACGAAGTTGAACAAAGTTGAGTTTTGTCTTGTAGGCTCTCATACCATGTTGGGCTGAAAAAATCCTTAGGACCGTTTCAAGACTAAACTCTCAGAGTGATGATGTACTTAGCGGAAGCGTAATAGTGGATTGATTGAACCACCTTGTACTAGTGTGTGAGAACAAGATGAATTGATTATATCAAAGAAATACAAGGTTTTATATGATTACAAGGAATACGAAATGTTTAACTGTAACTGCTGTTGCGGTTCGATACAGCGACGAGTCGGGTAACTGCTCAATAGCGAGTCCGTTATTTGTCCTTGCTGTCGCGCTGCCTTTGTCAAGTCGAAGGTCGCTGACCTTTGACCTTTGCTTCAACCTCCTGCTGTTGTCGCCTTGTCAACCGCTTTGGTTGACTCGGTGTTGCTTCGCTGTGAGTATGCTTCTCTTTTGTTTTAGTGCTCGATACTTCAGAAGCGTAAACTAAATGTTTCCAACAGTTATCGGTATACAGTCCACACATAAAGTATTATGCAACTGCAGAAGCGTTGACGAGTGTAGGCTGGAAGTCAGCTGTCAACCACCCATGCGTCTGCTTGCGCAGACGCACGTGCTTCAGAATTCTGCTGCTGCTGCTGGAACCGTCGGGGCTGGCAGCTTCAAGGAAAAGAGAAGTAAAGAAAGAATCAAACATGCGATTATGAGTAATACTGCTGCTGTTGTTGCTGCTGCTGCTGGTGGTGGAAAATCTGCTGCTGCGGCAACTGAAACGGGAACTTCTGAGGTACGTCAAGAGTCTGCTGCTGTGGCAGCTGAAGCGAGAATGCACCCGGCAGGAACGACGAGAGGTAAGAGGCATGTGCGTGCGCTTGTGCGTGTGCTTGTGTGTGTGCTTGGCCATTGCTAGCAGCCCAGAAAGAGGATTCTCTAGCAGCTGCATTTGAAAGGGCGGAGGCAGAAAGTGAGTGTGCACCAAGTGCGTAAGCAGCAGCAGCAGCAGCAGCAGCAGCAGCAGCAGCTGCAGCACCAGGCGCGGCAGCAGCTGTGGCCGAGGAAGAAGCAGCAGTGACAGCAGCACCAGCGGTGGCAGTGGCACCACAGAAGAAATTGCCTAGGGCGTGCTGGAGACTGCTGGGACTGGGAAGGCCCGCTGCTAGGAAAGTTGAGGAAGGATGAGGGAACGCAAGCGAGCCTTGTCCGTGCAGGGAGATGTGAGAAAGGGCTGCGTTTGTGTTGCTTGATGCACTGCTGCTTGTTGCTCCCAGCCCTAACCCAGCTCCTGCTCCTGCTCCCGCTCCTGGTCCTGCTGCAGCAGCAGCTGCTGCTAACTCTACACTGGAGAAGGTGTGTAGTGGGGAGAGGAACGGAAAACCTAGGTAATGATGCGCAATTGGATTTTGTATTTGAGGGGGCAGAGAGGGAAGCAGAGGGTTCCAGCCCAAGAGGCCAGCAGTAGCAGGGGTTGTCGCAGCAGCAGGTGCAGAGGCAGCAGCTGCAGCCGCTGCTGCCATCGCAGCAGCAGCAGCTGCAGCGGAAACACCAGCAGGAAAGACAGCAGCAGGGGCAGCTGCAGGAGCAGAAGCAGGTAGAGCTGTGGATTTCCGAGGGGCACCCATGCCTGCCGCACCCAACGCTGCTGCTGCTGCAGCTGCGGCAGCAGCAGGAGGAGACGGCGCAGGGGCAGCAGCATTAGGCGCCTTTGCACTTGCTGCTGCTGCTGCGGCTGCCGCTGCTGATGCTGCTGCTATCTCTGCCGTTGCTGCCGCTGCAGCTTCTGCTGCTGCTTCCACCACTGCTTCCGCCACAGCACGGGCATTCCCAACCCCGGTAACAGGAGTAGGAGGAGGAGGGAGGGCTCGGATTGCTGCCATTGCAGCAGCAGCAGCAGCAGCGTGAGCTGCTTCCCCTCCTCCTGGGTGAACTCTCCCGGAGGACATGGCAGCAGCAGCAGCAGCGGCGGCGGCTGCAGCAGCAGTGAGCGCATGGAGATCCGCTATATCCACTGCTGCTGCTGCTGCTGCTGCTGCTGCTCCTGCTCCTGCTGCTACTGCTGCTGGTGGTGCTGCTGCCACTGGGGCTGCCACTGCCGCTGTCACTGGTAGCTGATTCTGCTGTGGCGTCACCTGCTGCTGCTGCCTGCTTTTGCGCCGGCCCGAGCCGACAGGCACGTGCCGAATGACCCCCCCAGCCGTCCAATACCGCTGGCAGCCGCGGCAGAAGTGCCTAGGCTGGTTGGGGTTGCGGTTGTTGAAATAGCAGAACTTGGTGTTGCTGCTGTTGCAGCGCGGGCACGGGAGTTGCGGGTCGGGTGCGCTTGTGAAGAGAGCTGATACTTGCTCCAAGCTGCACACGCCCTTGCTGCTGCTTGCCTGTTGCTGCTGTTGTGGCTGTTGCTGCTGCTGCTGCTGCTGCTGCTGCTGCTGCTGCTGCTGCTGCTGCTTTCCCTCCTCACACGGCCCCGGGTTTTGGTCCTTGTGCTGAATGGCCTCCTCCTCCTGCTCCTGTTGTTGCTCATCCTCCTTCTGCTGCTCTTGCTGCTCGCGTTGCTGCTGCTGCCGGTGCTGCTGGTGCAGCTGCTGCTGTTGCTGGTGGTGCTGGTGCTGGTGCTGGTTTTGGTGGTGGTGGTGGTGCTGCTGCTGGTAGTGCTGCGGCTGCCGTTGCTGTTGCTGCTGCTGGCGTTGCTCCTGGTCCTGGTGCTGTTTCCCAAGCTTCCCACACTGTTCATCAAGTGCCCTGCACTCGTGACCACCTTCTTGCATCTGCTCCCCCCTCTCCACCTCCCCGCCCTCCTCCCCTCCGTGCACACCCGCTCCTCCTACATAATCCCCCCACTCGCCACCTTCCTGCACTCCCATAAAATACCCCACATGCCGTTTCTTATCCACATGCTTCCCACTACCATGCTTCCCACACCTTTCCACCTGCCCCTCCCCTCCCTCCTCCTCCACTCCCTCCCGCTCCCTCCCCACCTCCTCCTCCTCCTCCCCGGCCTCCTCTCCCTTCTCCTCCTCCACCTCCTCTACTTCCTCCTCCTCTCCGTATCTCGAATCCTGTACTGCTTGCTCCCGCGGGCTATTGCTGCCAGATGAACTGCCTAGCTCGTCCGCACCTCCTTTCTCCCTCCGTCCCCCTCCTCTTCCCCCTCCTCCTCCTCCTCCTCCTCCTCCTCCGCTCACACCACCAGCACCAGCACCAGCACCAGCAGTACCAACAGCACCACTGCTGCCACCGCTACCGCCGCTGCCACCACCGCTATCACTACCATCACCACCATCACCACCAAGACCACAACGCTTATTCGCTCCACTGCCGATACCACCACCAGCATCATCATTAGCATCAAAGGCACCACTACCATCTGCAGCAGCAGCAGAAGCAGCAGCAGCACCGCCGCCAGCAGCAGCAGGCATGGCACAGAGGCTGGTTGCTCCACTACCAGTGCTTGTGCTTGCCACTCCCCAGCCACACGGGTTCTGCTGTACTGCTTCCGCTAGGAGGGTCTGTGTGACGGGCGGGGGGGGCGGGGGGGGGAGGCAGAAGAGAGAGAGGGGAAGAGAAGAGAGTGGGGGAGAGGGAGAGGGGTTGAAGACAGAGTGGGGAAGGGAGACTCACTCATAGATTCTGAGGCGTCTCAAAGGCGTTTAAAAGCGGGAATTAGTTAAGAAATCACCTTCCATTATGTACTCACCAAAGCACAGGAAGGACCCACGTCGCCATCCGTCTCTCGCCCATCCACCTCCATGCCTTCTCCCCTCTCGCCCTCGTCTCCTTCTCCCTCCTCTCCTCCCTCCTCTCTCTCTCCCTCTTCTCTCATACCTTCCGGTTCCCCCTCTCCCTTCCACTTCAAAGAAGGTGTAGCTCCATGCCTCTCGTCCTGACGGTTATTTGATGACGCTCTGAATGTCTCATCTCCTCTCGTCCCTCTCGCCCCTCTCGCCCCTCTCGTTCCTCTCGTTCCTCTCCCCACCATGCTCCACCTTTCCACATCGTCTCTCCACAACCCCATGCCGCAGCCCCCTCCTTCCACCCCCCCTCCCGCTTCCCGTCCTCCTCTGCCCTCCCGCACCCGCCCTTGCTCCGGCCCAGCTGCATCCATACGCGTTACAAGGGCCTCGCGAGCGTCGACTGGAAACCTCTGCACCGAAGCGTCCTGTGATATCACCGCACTGATTGCACCAGAGCAGGAGTCCTGCACAGGAACAGCAGCAGCTGCTGCTCCTACAGCTCCTGCTGCCCCTTCTGTCCCAGCAGCTAACCCTGCCGCTGCTGCTACCTCATTAGCCAGCGCAAGCTGCTGTGTGCTGCCCGTTGCTAGGGTCAACTCTCCGCCGTCACTGCGACAAGCGGCCCCAGCTGTCCCTCTCTTTCCGCTAGGTCCGCAACGGCTTACTACCAGCCCTCCTGGCACTACCTGAACCAGACTCCGCCGCTGCTGCTGCTGCTGCTCGTCCGACGTGCTGTTCCTGCTGCTTCTGCTGTGTCTGCTGCCGCCGTCTCCGGCCTCTCTCCCCGCGTTGACTCCGCTTGACTTGGACGACTTGGTGAGACCGTGAGCGCCAGGCGCGACCATCCCCGGGCTTCGCAGCGTCAACTGGAGCGAATCCGCCTGCTCCATGTCCCCTTCCCGCGCTTGCCTCGATTCCCCCACCGTCTCCATCTCCCCCATCTCCCCCATCCCCCCCAACTCTCCCAATTGCTTTGGGGATTGTGGTGACTGTGGCTGCTCTCTCTGGCCTTTCTGTTTTCTCCTGCCACTGCCGGTGCGGGTACCGTTACCGTTACCGCTACCGCTACCGTTACCGCTGCCGCTGGCGCTGCGACTGCCCCTTCTTTCTTCTCCTGTCAAGAGTCTCTCCTTCCCCGCCGTCTTGCCGCCTCGCAACGCCCTTTCATTCGCTCCTCCTGGTTCCCTTTCTCCCGAGTGCCGTTCCCCTGGCTGCCTCATTCCATCGGCCCATTTCTCCGCCTCTCCTTCTACTCTCTCCCCCACCTCCCGCCCGTCACCTTCCCCCAACACCATCATCCGCTCCTGTTCTTTCCCCCGTCCCCTCCGAGCGCTTTCCTCCGCCCACCCTTCCCCCGCCAGCGCAAGTGCGCTCTCTCCCCCCCAGCACCGCGTGCCGAGCCCGAGCCCGTCCCACACTCTGTTCCGCCCGTCCCTTCCGCCGGTGTCCCCCCGCTCCATCTCCCCTCCCCCCCCACCTCCGCCACGCCCCACCATCCGTGCCCCGGTCCCCTCCTATCACTCCTCTCTCCGCTCTCGCGGCCAGAACTATTGGCAAAAGCAGCGACAGAAACTCCGGCGGAGCAGCAGGTGTCGTCCTTGTGTTACGGCAAGAACGGTCAACGCTCGGGTGTCGTAAGCACAGAAGCAGAAGCAAGCTGTTTCAATACGCAAGCGGCGCACCACACGTGGCCGTGTTTCAGTTCTTTAGTCGCCTGAGAGTCGAACCAGAGAGTTTCAATCTCAGGAGGCGCTTCTCAACGTGCCGTTTTTCACGCGCGCAAACACACGCGCTCTGCTTCTGCTTGTTCTTTCAAGCGGGAACCCGCCATTGCCCACAAGCTCGCGACCTCGAGAGCTCCACTTTTCAGCTTCTTCGTCAGCCGAGCCGACTCGGTTGATAGCTTTCGCTGTCGACACACTGGGCCGCGATTACCAGTGACGGTGGTGGTTAACGATGGTAACGGTAACGGTAGCGGTGGTGGTATTTAATGGCGACTGAACGAGTCGTCAGGTACGCTCAACCGGACATGCAAAAATCCGGAAGTTCATTCGGAGTCAGAGTTACCCGAGGGCTGCTGCCAGGAATCCAGCGCCAACGGCCAATAAGGATGTCTTCGTCTACAGTTTCTAATCAAGGATTTGCGGCAACGGAGGCGAAGCTCCAGAATCGAGGTTCGGGAGTAAAGTTTCGGCGATTATAGGCTTGCTTTAGGCTCCATAATGGGCTGAACAAAATATATGGGCAATACTACTACGTGAGTACTAGCTATGGAGGGTCGGATCAATGACCAAGAATGTTCGACTGGTTGCTGTGCAAGAAGCGAGAATAAGCAACGGTACGAGTGCACGAGGGACGAGACGGCTCCATGCAGCGGAGCCATTGCAAAAAAAGCTCCGGGAAGACTGGGAAGACGGAGAGACAGTGAGGAGGTTGAGAGAGGGAGAGGGAGAGAGATGGACTGTGTGGAATGGTGAAGGGAGGAGGGAAGTGGGAGTAGGAGTGGAGTGAGACGACGATGCGACCAACCAGCGATGTGAGTTCCATTCCATTCCATTCCAACCATAGCTTCACTGTGTATTTGGATTCTGGAGTGTTCGCTCTTGTGATTCCCTCCCTCCACTCGAATTCAGAAAGATACGCGATTCGTAAGGAGTGGTGGTGGTGGGGTGAAGGGGGCAGAGAAAGGTGTGGGTCAATAGGAGACTGAAGATTGTCGAGCATTTGTGACCGTCATTTGGATTGGCTTCAAAATACGGGTTGATTCTAGCCACGAAAAAAATTTTGGGCAGCAAAGAAGTGGATCCCCCCCCAGAGCAGCATTGTCGGGTTTGCAGAGCAGCAGCCTCAGTCAGTGGAGTTCTGAGCAGAAGTAGCAATTTTCTGGTCAGCGATGTAGTGCTAAACGTATCATTGCGTCTACATAGCATCCCAAGCCATGCTTTTTGGAGTAGGTGAACCGTGTTACTGTATTTCGTCTCTACCCTCAAAACACTCAGGAAAGTTCGTGGACTAGCAGTGCTGTTCGAGATATGTGGACACAGTGGCATCGAGTCGATCAGTTCGCGAAGAATCAGAAACCAATGATGTTCTTGAGCTTGGCAAACTCCAGCCATGTGGAGAAGCATCGCCCACTTTCCAGATCTCATTCACGCGCACTTTCGTTCAGGAGGATCTCATTCCTGGCTCACGAGCTTCCGCACAAAACTAGCATGTGGCAGCCCGTGAAACTTCGTCATAATTTGGTCTTTACAGGTGTTTGAAACATCAGGAGCCGCTAACTATGAAGAACAAATCTTCTGTTGACCTATGAGAAACCAGACCACACGGCCTTTACAAGTTCCCTGCAGTTGTGTCTTCTGTTTGGATCCGGTTTTCATGGGGCACTGCGTTTGTACAGTTCACTTCACGGCGAGCTTCAAAAGGGCCGCCTGTCACATCCAAGCAAGCGGCAGTTAGTCGGTCAGCTAAGCGGGATGCCGTCAACATCGCCACCACTCAACACGGCACACTCAGAGCTTGGCGCGCAATGTACCATCCCAACTTCGTGCCAAGAGGGGGTCACAGGCTTGCAGCCCCATCCCACTGCAATAAAGTGCCAATTCCTAATTCAGAAGGGGTTGCAACCACACAGTACCGGACATGACACAAATTGTATGAAGCAAGAGCAAACGAACTCCCCAGTTTGAAAGTTTAGTTCTCTGGCTGCTCCACATCAGTATTTCCAGAAACACGGCCTTTTCTTCCGTTTCACACCATCGAGATTCGAGAAAAGCTGTGCTGGCACGTTCTCGAGGGGCCACGTCACGTTTCCCGTACTTTAGGCATCGTACAGAAGACGAATGTCAGGTCTAGGCTAGTAGTGGGTTGACCTTTAGCGCGGACATGGTTTTCCACACCCCCTGCTGTTCCCCAGCAGCACACCCGAGGGAGCAGCATATGACTGTTCAAACCATCAATCAGCATCTCACGAATTTATGACTCTGCTTTGGAGGAGCCTTGCCGCGCACACAAAGCTTTCGCTATAGCTTTTGTGGTACCTCATTCGTTACTTTCAACGAAGACGCGCCTTAAAGCCTTCACAATCGCCTCCCTTACAATTAAATCGTCTTTTCCTTACCCCGGCCCCATTCAATCCACTTGTTTCTAAGTTCTCCGTAATATGGCGTCTCGAGCCGTTGTAGCTGCATGCCAACTGCGCACCTCCATTTGCGCCAACGCTAGCTTCCCGGCACCCCCCTCCGCATTTATCTGCCGAATCGCCGCGACCACTGCGCGTCTCCACACCATCTCTTCCGCGCGAGCGTCGTCCGCGGAGGCGTCTTCCGCGCAATTTTCCGCTGTGCGCGCGGTGCGCGCTGCTAAGGACAGCGGCGGCGGGCTGCTTGATAAGCCAGTTGTAGCTCCTACTCCTGGACGGGAATCCGAATTTGATCTCACGTGAGTTACTAGAATGCGTGGTTGCTTGCTTGAGCCGATAAAATTCGTACTCGTGGTTTCGGGAGTCTGGTTGCGGATGGACGGGGAATGACGTTTACCAGTTCACGCTGATGGCGCGAAGTTTCGTTTCCGAGAGTTTAAGCTACATTCACCGCATTCGTTGCGCGTTCAGATTACGCTGAGTCGCCCGGAAGCAGTGGCCGGCCTGCCCAGATACGCCCGGGACTTGATAAGGTCTCAGCATAATTAACTCTCTAACTACTGAAGCGTGTTGCGAAGTGTAGATTATGTACTTTTCGTGTTGCGAAGCGTGACATGGGTGGGTCACACTTATAGAGCGAGACGACGAGTTGAGCTAACCACCAGGTCTATATGCAGCGCCTAGGGGGTCTGGACAAGCGTGTAGCGAGGCGATGTTTGAGGCGCCTAAAAAATCGCCTCATTACACTTACAGAGCGAGACGAGGAGTTAAGCCAGCTACCAGGTCTATGAGCAGCGCCTGGGGGTAAGGTCTGAACAGGCGGAGCCGAATATTCAAAATTTCTCATTTACCGCTCACGAGGATGACGAGTTGAGCCACACCACCAGGTCTATCAGCAGTGCCTGTGGGGAAGGTCTGGACAGGCGAGCCGGATTTGCGCGCACTCGCTTGCGTTTCTCGAGTTTCGAGACATCTCAAATCTATCTGCAGCTTTTGGGGGGTCTGTTGGGGCAGGCGGAGCAGGGGTGGGTTGCAAGCAGCGCAGGAGGAGCCCTTTGTAACCTTGTCATGCCGCATGATTAGAGATGAGACGATTCTCGAGTCTCCTTTAAACCCCCTCTTGTTTCTTTCTTCATCTTCCTCCGAGTGTAGCAAGCAGCGCAAGAAGAGCCCGCTGTACCGTGTCATGCTGCACAACGTAGAGAGATGAGACGATTTACGAGGCGCCTAAAAAACCCCTGTCTTCTCCCCTCCCATGTGCGTGTGTGCAGCAAGCAGCGCAAGAAGAGCCCGCTGTACCGTGTCATGCTGCACAACGACAACTTCAACCGCCGCGAATACGTCGTGCAGGTGCGGTGCGGTGCACGGGGATGCACAGAGGTGTACCGGGGTGCATTGGGGTGCATTGGGGTGCATTGGGGTTCACTGGGGTGCACGGGAGTGCACAGGGTTGTGCTGGGCTGATGTCCATTGTGCTGTGCTGCTCGGTGGTGCTGGGTTGGGCCCTGGCTGCGGTGTGCTGCATTGCGTTTCATTGTGCTGCACTGCATTGTTCCAAGTGTGTGTCTGAGTGGGCATGCATGTGCATGTGCATGTGCATGTGCATGTGCGCAGTGTGACACCCCCAGGTACTCATGAAGTGCGTGCCGGGCATGACGGTGGACCAGGCGGTCAACATCATGCAGGAATCAATTGCTTCATGCGCCTCAATGCTACATTTCAGTGTGCATGCTTCCCATGCTTCCCATGCTTCCCGTGTTTGCCATGTTTGCCTTGCTGACCATGTGCCACCCCAGGTGCTGATGAAGTGCGTCCCGGGCATGACAGTGGACCAGGCAGTCAACATCATGCAGGAGTGAATCTCTTGAGGCGCCTCAAAAACACACTTCCATGTGTATGTGTTTGCCATGTGTGCCATGTGACACATCACATCACAGGTACTCATGAAGTGCGTGCCGGGCATGACAGTGGACCAGGCGGTCAACATCATGCAGGAGGCGCATGTGAACGGCATGGCGTGTGTGCTCATCTGTGTGCAGCACGAGGCGGAGGAGGTGTGCCTCAACCTGCGCAGCAATGGACTCGTCAGCTCCATTGAACCCGCCTCCTCGTCCGGGGCTTAAGGACAGATGGGTTGGGGATGAGGGGGGTGAGGGGAACGGAGGGGCTGAGGGGGAAAGGAGGGGATGGGAGGGGAACCAAGGTGAGGGAGAGGTGGGGGTGTTGTTTCTGGGGAGGTAATGGGGGCGGAAGGGTGGTGGTAAAGAAGGGCCGGGGGGGTTTTGGGGCAAGAGGGCGACAGGGGGTTGGTGCAGCACGAGGCGGAGGAGGTGTACCTCCACCTGCGCAGCAACGGACTCGTCAGCTCCATTGAACCCGCCTCCTCGTCCGGGACTTAGAGATTTGGATGCATAGGAGAGACGGGGCGACGGATGGGGTGTGGGGGGGGGAGTGGGGGAGAGAGGAAGGAGGGGAGGTTGGGAGTGGAAGGGGAGAGAGACGGGAAGAAGGGGGGCTGTTGTCTAAAAAAAGTGGGTGGTGAGTGGGGCGGAAAGGGGGCAGGGGCAGTACAGGGAGTGACAGGGAGGTGGTGCAGCACGAGGCGGAGGAGGTGTGCCTCAACTCCTCGTCAGCTGCGCAGCAACGGGCTCGTCAGCTCCATTGAGCCCTTTTCCTCGTCCGGGGCTTAGAACAAGAGGGAGAGGGCGGACGGTTGGGGTCTGGGGGCAAGAAGGGAGCGGGGGAGGATGGGAGCCGAGGGGAATAGAGACAGGGGGGAGGGGGGGCTGTTGTCCAGGGAGGTGAGCGCCAAAGTGGGGGGAAGGGGGCTTAGGAGGGCAAGGGGAGAGGAGGGGGAACAGGGAGTTATGAGACTTGATTGTTGTGTAATTATGTGAGCTTAGTGTGATGAATGAGCACCTGACATTACAAGATGGAGGGGGGTGGGGGGCGGTTGGGGTGGGTTGGATCGAGTGAAAGTGACTTGGCACTTGAACCTTGGGGATTGCAGGGAAATGTTACCTAGATCTGGTCTGGTGGCGACTAGGTGTTACCTGATAAATGGAGTTACTGTAGCATTTGTACAGGAGCAATCTAATTGACTTCTACAGGTTTTGCTTATGAAACTAACGCAATAATCGTCTTGTACGCCGTAAGACACGGAAAAAAACTTCATAGTACACAAGGTATAACTCACACAGACGAGACGGGGCATCTGTTAGTTGCATTACATGTGGACGGACACACAAGCCCATGCTTTCACCTGACCTACCGTACCATTAGTCTTGAATATTAATTGATGTGCATATCTCAAGCACCCTCGTCATGCACATGCCCAGGAGGGGAAATAAAAGCTGAACCAGTGCTCGCATTATGCACTGCAATAAAAAAATGAACCAGTTGTGTTGTGTTGTGTTGTGTGAGTGACCAACAGGTGAATGGTGAGTTGTGTTGAGTGGCCAGCTGCACGAGACAACACAACACACGGCCTACATCATCTCATGCACTGCGTTCCTTTCCTCCTCTGCCATAGCCTGCGCAGACCACAGCAGCATGCGTTCCAAGTTTGTAGAGGCGCAGCAGCAGATAGTTTTTTGAGGCGCCTCAAAAATCGCAGCAGCAGATTGTGGATTTAGGAACGACTTTTGAGGCGCCTCAAAACTGCAGCAAGCGCTCAAAGTCCTCCCACCAGCACAACAACCCTTCCCCTCCATTGCCTTCTTCCTCCTCCACTTCCTCCTCCTCGTGTGCCTCCTCCTCTCGCCATTCGACCCCCTGCCTGCCAGCTTCCCTGTCCTGCACCCACCCTCCTGTTTTTGCTTCCTCCAGCCCTTCCAATCCTCCTGCGTGCTTCGCCGAACCACCTTCAGCGACAGGGGTGGCAGCAGCAGTGGCAGCAGTGGCAGCAGCAGTGGCAGCAGTGCCAGCAGCAGTGGCAGCAGTGGCAGCAGCAGTGGCAGTGGCACCTGCTATTGTCTGGCCTGTTGCTGCTGGTGCTACTGCTGGTACTGCTGCTAGTGCTGCCGCTGTTGCTGCTGGTGGTGCTACTGCACCGGACACAGCCTCTCGCCTTTCCAGGCGCATCAGCTCACTTTGACCCTCCACCAGGCATGAGGCCACCTCATACCAACCTGGAACCTTCCCTGGCAGTGGCATCGGCTCGAAATCCCGGCACCCACGCACAAAGATTCGAGGTGGATGGGAAGGTGAAGGAGGAGGAGGAGGAGGAGGAGGAGGAGGAGGAGGAGGAGGAGGAGGAGGAGGAGGAGGAGGAGGAGGAGGAGGAGGAGGAGGAGGAGGAGGAAGATGAGGGGGAGAAGTGGGGAAGGGGGATTCAGGGGAGGGATGGTCAGGAGGAGCGTGTATTAGGGGAGGAGTGTGAGTGTGGGAAGTGTGGTGGATTGGGGACGTGGGTGTGGGGGTGGGTGTGAGTGTGTGTGTGGGTGTGGTGTGTGTTGTGAAGGGAGAGGGTTGGCTCCATAGCTCAATGGCGATGGATGATGTGTATGCCGGCCATGAGGCATAGGGAATGCCGAGCGACGCTGGGAGATGGGATGGAATGGGATGCGTTGGGATGGGGTGGGATGGGTTGGGAAAGGACAGGAGGGTGGCGATGGGGCAGAGGGTAGAGAGTCACCAGAGGGCGAAAGGCCAATGTCACGCCTTGTCACAGTCACCAGACGTACCGATGGCAAGAGAGTTGAGGCATCCTGAGGTGATCGCGAAGGAAATAAGGAAGGCGGACGGATGTACCAGCAAGAGGCAAGAGTGTAACGTACTGTGCTGCTGAGTAGAGGAAGAGGCAAGGGGTGGGACTCTTGACCGCGCCTCAAACTTTTGAAGGCGAATTTTGAGTGGAGGCGTGATTGTTGTTGGGAAGGAAGGCGCGCGGACGTACCAGCAAGAGGCAAGAGCGTGACGTCGTGTGCTGAGTAGAGGAAGAGGCGAGGGGTGGGAGAAGATGTGGTGATGGTGGGTGGTGGGAGGGAGGAGGAGGAGGAGGAGGAGGAGGAGGAGGAGGAGGAGGAGGAGGAGGAGGAGGAGGAGGAGGAGGAGGAGGAGGAGCAGTGAGCGTGGATGCAGAGTGAGAGGCAGCTGTGCAGGTCACGCAGGAGAGGGCCCATTGCAAGGCGGGCTATGGGTGGACACTGGTAGGGAAAAGAAGGGAAAACGCAGCAAGTGAAAACCAGATTTCTCCTTTCCCTCCTGCTTTTCCCCTCTTGCGGGGTCACGCTGGAGAGGGCCTATGGCAAGGCGGGCTATGGTTGCACACTGGTGGTAAGGCGTGGAGCAGGGGAGAACGGAGAGGAAAGGGGAGGAAGAGAGAGATAGGAGGAAAAGGAGGGAAAGGTAACTGTATTTACTTCTTGTAGGGGACTCGAGAGAAGGAGAAAACGAGATGTATTGAAGGCGCCTGGTTTCATGTTAGGAGAATAAGAAGTTTAGGGGCTTGAGTGATCAAGGCTTGGGAAATCGAGCTTGAGCATTCGAGGCTTGGGAAAGACTTGGGAGAGACTCACGCAATAGAGCTTGGCATAGTCTTGGGCGATGAGGGAGCAGATGGATTGGATGAGCGACTTTTGAGACGTCTCAAAAGATATCGAGGTTAGAGAGATTGAGGACCCGAGAGAGGCGGATGAGACTCACGCAATAGAGCTTGGCATAGTCTTGGGCGATGAGGGAGCGGATGACTTTTGAGTCGACTCTGACGGACAAAAGTCAACTTGTGAGATTGAGGCTCTGAGAGACACTCACGGAGTAGAGAGTGGCATAGTCTTGGGCGATGAGGGAGCGGATGGAGTGGATGAGCGGAGGTGTGATGTGCGGAGGTAAGGGGTCCCCGTGGTGCTGGCAGCAGTGCAAGAAGTCCGTTGCCTGGGATGCATGGTGGGACAAGGAAACAGATAGTCAAACGGGAATGTGCAGAGGGGAAACCGCTGCAGCAAACTTGTTTGCATCCACAAAAAAGAGAAGAAGAAGAAAAAAAAACATGGTACCTAAAAAACCCGGAACAAGCTCACGCAGTGCCCAGGGCAACTCACCACCCAGGGCCGGGGGAATCAGCTGGTGGGCTGTCATAGAGAACCTAAAAGCACCAGTTGTCAACTCACCCAGGGCCAGGGGAAAGGGCCGGAGGGCAGGCCGAGAACAGCTCTCATCGCCTCGCGAGCTTCCTGGTGGTGTGAGAGGGATGAGGGGCGCAGGCGGAGTGGCTTTTGAGATTTTTTTAGAATTCTTGAAGGAGAGAGGGAGGGAGGGAGGGAGGGAGGGAGGGAGGTCTGCAAATTATGAGGACCAGACGTTAGGTGTGTAAGATACCTACCTCACCTTCTTTCTGGTATGCTTGCCGATCATTAGTAGAACGACCATTCCAGGGAGGGAGAGAAGTCAAATCTGGTGGTTCAAGTTCCTCAATAGAGTGACAACTCTTGTTGAGCGGCATAGGGAAAGCATGCACTGACACCTTACCACGTGCTTCTTGCGCCATCCGCCGCCGCTGCCAGCATCACTGTCACCATCAGCAGAAGCAGTCGCAGCAGCGGTAGCACCAACACCGACGCCAGTGGTAGCAACAGCGCCATTCACAGCAGAAGTAGCAGCAGTAGTAGCAGGAGGGGGAATGCCATCTAAGGCAGCAGCAACGCCAGCAGCAGCAGCAGCAGCAGCAGCAGCAGCAGCAGCAGCAGCAGCAGCAGCAGCAGCAGCAGCAGCAGCATTGCCATCAGCTTCAGAAGCAGCGGCAGCAGGAACATCAGCAGCAGAAGCACAAGGAGGAGCAGGGGAGGGCAGAGGGAGAGGCGGAAGGCCCTGTGTGACTCTGCGCCACGCAGAGTGAGTCAACTGCGTGGTGCTGGTAGGGAGAGGGAGGGCGGTTGCGTGGGGAAGATTTTGAGAATTCTCAGAAGCAACTCCGTCATCGGTAGCTAGCAATAGGAGCATGGGAGGGCAGAGGGAGGGGCGGAAGGCCCTGAGTGAGTCAACTGCGAGGTGCTGGCAGGGACAGGGAGGGTGGTCGGGGTGGTGAAGGAAGGGCGAAACGGGATGGAGGGGGAGCAGTGCAGGAGGCAGTTGGTTGGGGTGGTGAAAGATGGGTGCAAACAGGGGTGAGACGGGTGGACAGAACGGAAAGGGGATGGAATGAGGCCGAGAAGCACGGCACACAAACAGGCAGCGGCAGGTGAGTGACAGGTGAGCGGCAGGTGAGCGTGGTAACATTTCCAAGGCAATGCACAATGGACATTTTCCCAATTTAACTCAACAATCACAGCTCACTTACCGTGCACATCGCCCCGAGTCGATGAGCGTCTCTTGGTTGTCCTCGCGAATCTCCATCGCTCTACACGCTGCAGCTGCCGCCTCCTGTGACCCCAGCAACCCGCAGAGAAGGAAGAACGCTGCAGGGGAGTGGCGTGATGGTTTGGTGGTGGTGGTGGTGGTGGTGGTGGTGGTGGTGGTGGTGGTGGTGGTGGTGGTGGTGGTGGTGGTGGTGGTGGTGGTGGTGGTGGTGGTGGTGGTGGTGGTGGTGGTGGTGGTGGTGGTGGTGGTGGTGGTGGTGGTGGTGGTGGTGGTGGTGGTGGTGGTGGTGTTGGTGGTGGTGGTGGTGGTGGTGGTGGTGGTGGTGTTGGTGGTGGTGGTGGTGTTGGTGTTGGTCGTGGTGGTGGTGGTGGTGGTGGTGGTGGTGGTGGTGGTGGTGGTGGTGGTGGTGGTGGTGGTGGTGGTGGTGGTGGTGGTGGTGGTGGTGGTGGTGGTGGTGGTGGTGGTGGTGGTGGTGGTGGTGGTGGTGGTGGTGGTGGTGGTGGTGGTGGTGGTGGTGGTGGTGGTGGTGGTGGTGGTGGTGGTGGTGGTGGTGGTGGTGGTGGTGGTGGTGGTGGTGGTGGTGGTGGTGGTGGTGGTGTTGGTGTTGGTCGTGGTGGTTGCTTTTGAACATTCTCAGTGATGACTGTTGAGTCGATTCACAAGAAGCACCTGAGAATTACCTGGAAAGCACCTGGGAAACACCTGGGAAGCGCCTGAGGAGGACCTGAGTGGTAAGTCCGTGGAAAGTTGGTGGATCGCATGCAAATCACTGATGCCAGCACCTCCTCCTCCTCCCTTGTGTGCCCATCCCTCAGCCCCTCACCATTCACCCCTCTGTCTTGGTGCTCCCTAGAATCTATTACTTCCCCCCCTCCCCCTCCTCCTCTTACTCCCTCCCCACTCCCCACTCTCCTTTCTGCTCCTCCTCCTGCTTCGTCTCCTCTCTCTCCCCCACCGCTTCCCACTAGCCCTTCTAGCAATGCTGCACCATACACCTTCCTGAGTCGCTTGCCTAGCTCCTCTGCCTCTCGTGCTCCTGGGTAGAGATGAACAGGGTGGGTGGGGAAGGGTGAGGGTTGAGGGGAGAGGCGGGGGGAAGAGGGGCGAACGTTTAAAGCAGGAGGCGAAATGACGAGTGGATCCAATACAAGGGAATGCTCGGAAGGTTTCAGGAGAGAGAAGGATTATATCAATAAAGGACCGTTCGAAGGAACGGGGACGAGAAAGGAAGGGGAGCTGCAGTGAGTGTGATGCGCAGGCGAATTCGAGGAAGAATGGAGAGGAAGCGAGGAAAGACGATTCACCAATTCACCCGCCCGCCCACCCACCCACCACCCGCCCGCCCGCCCACCCACCCACCACCCGCCCGCCCACCCACCCACCACCCGCTCGCTCACCCACCCACCTGTTTGCGTGAGCTGTCCAAACGGCCAGCCTTCCACACCCCGCGTGTGCCTCCTCTCTGGCAGCCCTGCCATATCCACCGCTCTCACTGCCCTACCCTCCCATACCTCCACCCCAGGGAACCCTTCCCACTCTCTCCCCTGCTCTCCACTCTCCTCCGCTTTGTTCCCCTCCCCTCCGTTCCCCTCCCCTCTGCTCCCCTCCCCTCCCCCCTGCCCTCTTGAAGGCTCCTCCCCCAATTTTTGCTGCTTCCCTTCACAGTTTTCCTCACTCCCTCCCCTTGACCCATTCCCGTTGCCCTTCCCCTTCCCCTGCCTCGTCCTCTCCCCTTTCTCCTTCCCCCTTTCGTTTCCCCCCTTCCCGCTTGTCCTATTCCCCAGCACGCGCGCCTTGCTGTGGGGCAGGGGCACTCGGGCGCCATGGCGGAAGAACACATGAACCTGGCGGGAGGTGCGCGGGAGGGGTAGTGCGGGGGGGGAGGTGCGCGGAAAGGCGGGGAAGAGCGGGGGGAAGGCGCGGGTAAGAGGGCGACGAGGGGGGAGTTAGAGCTGAGCGGATGGAGGAAGGGGATGGGACGATATACAATCAGAAGTGGTGCTGTTTCGTTTTCCACCAGCATCCCCCCTGACTCTCTCCGTTTCCCCTGATCCGCCACTCTACCTGCAGAAGTTGAGGCGGGGGAAACGGAGAGCGCGGATCCGCAGACTCTGTCCAGAGAACCCTAAACTCCTCCTTTTCCCCCAGCATTCCGCCTCCCCCTGCCCTGCCTGTTCCGCCCACCCCTTCCCCACTCGCCCGGCGTTTTCCCTCCGCTCGCCGCAACATCGACGCCACCGAAGGGGAAAGGGATGGCGGAGGCGGAGGCGGGGGCGGGAGCGGAAGGGTTGCGCGGAACGTTGGAAAGGAGCGAGCGCGGGGACGGACTGGCGGAACGAATGGACTGGGGAAAAGGCGACTGGGGGAGGAAGTAGGCGGAGTGCCGAGCAGAGCTCTGGTAGAAGAAGCGCGGGAAACGCTGAAATGAGCTGGAAAAACTGGCGCTTCGCGGCCGCAAATGGCGGCGGTGGCGGCCATGGGCTTTGTGGGTCTGCCTGGGGCACGGGCGAGGCAGCTCAGACGGAAATCATTCTTCATTTCGTACTCGCTGGAAATCAACCCGTTACTAGCTCCCTGCTCTTTATTTGTGCAAACAATGTCAAAAGTCAGCTGACACATACATTTATTTCTTAAATCACTCAACACCTTGCTTACACAACATTCATATTGCAAAATTCTCCTGACCAAAACCAAACCTGGAGGGCCTAGGTATTGAGGCAGGGGAACTAGAGGAGTAGGAGATTGATTGGAACATAGAGAGGAGCAAACAGCAGGATACCAATAACTAGGATTCTGGATGCTGCAACCTGGCACACGACTTTTTCTTTCCAGTTGACTCAAAAATCGCACCAAGGTACTACTTCCTATGTGGCGGCTAGGGTGATGGATGAATGGATGGATGGAAGGATGAAGCTGATTCGAAGATAATGAGCAAATCTTGGAGAATCATCACTCGTGTGATTGCACTCCCACCCATCGCGCGTAGTCCACCCATCTGCAAGCAAGGAGATAGAACGGGGGAAGAGGGATATTTAGATGTTTGTGAGTACATTCAAGGGACAGTATGGGTGCTTGGAACGGACAATGGGATTCAATGACTATGTTAGGCAATGCAGAGATGCATGTATGTAGACAGGAATACAAGAGGCAGTCTTGATGTATGTGAGCATGAGTGAAATCGAGTGTGCACATATGCGAGTATGTACAGCGAGAAAGGGAGATAGGGAGCAAAGGGGGACAGGACAGGAGGAGCATGCCGCACAAGCTAGTGTGCTTACAGCAGGGAGCCAAGGAAGGTGTTGCCGGTGCGGACAGCAAAGGACAGCACAGGACAGAAAAGGGACAGCAAAGGACTTTCGATACGTCTCAAGAGTCAGCATGAGCGAGAGAGGGTGCTTACAGCAGGGAGCCAAGGAAGGTGTTGCCAGTGCGGACAGCAAAGGACAGCACAGAGAGCAACAGCTTCTTGTTGTGCAGCATGGGCTCTAGCATACGCTGCTCCACTATTCCCGCCAGGATTTGATATCTGCCCAGAAAAGATGTGGGCACAGAGAAGGTGTGGGGTGGGGTGGAAGAAGAGGGGCAGGGAGGAATGGAGGTAAGCAGATGAGAGAGGCGGGTTCGTTAGCATTTCAGCATGAAGAGCAGCGAGAGCCTTGATTCAGCCAATCCCTGTTCTGTCAGAACCATGATAGGAAGAATGGTTGAGTCAATCAGACCTGTGCACACAATGCAGGCTTTGTGACGTCTCAAAACTACACACCTGCCACAGCCTCACTAACGTGGATCCCTGAAGCACACCTGGCAGAGTTCAAAGCCCAATTGACCAAGCACAAACTCGTTCTTTTCAAGCGTACCTGATGTTGCTTGAGACGGCCATGTAGACGCCACATACAGCTTTCCAGGCACCTCAAGTGACCAAGCACAAACTAGCACCACCACCCATCACCACCCACCACCACCCACCAGTAGCACCAACCGTACCTGAGGTTGCTTGACACGGCCATGTAGACGCCATAGGCCACACTGGTTGCGAGAATCGGCACCTTGGTCTCCTCCCCCTCCTGCTGCTGCGCACTGGCCTCCACAGCACTGCCGTCTGCTGCTGCTTGCTTCGCCGCCAGGGACTTGCGCGCGATGATGAGCGCATTGGTCATGCCACAGCCGAACTGATGGGCAGAGGAAAAAAGAGGGGGAGGAGGGGGAGGGGAGGGGCGAGTGGTGTGTTGGAGGGAGGGGAGGATGAGAAAAGGGAAGAGGGATTGAGAGGTTGCCTTGCCAGGAACCTGCGTGCGAGGATGCGCATATTGGTCATGCCGCAGCTGAATGGGTGCATCCATACCATACAGCCCCTCTTATGGAGGTAGAGGGGCACATGGATGGACGGGACGAGGGGGGAGCAGTAAGGATGGCAGGGAGGCCAGGTGGAAAGGGGTTGGGGAGGAATTGAGGGGGAATTGAGGGGGAGAGGAACGGGATACATGCATTAGATGCTATGACATGTCATGCCATGTGCCGTACAATCCCATGGCACCCCATAAATTGCAATTAAGCACAACGGCACACTTCCCTCTTGAACCGATACATCATTCCAATTTCTCCCCTAACTGCCTTCACCCCTCCGCACACCACTCCCACTCCTCCCGACACCACTCCCACCCCTCCCCACCACTCACCAGAGACGCCACAGTCCCCACTCCTAGCAGCTTGGCGCCATTGCGCTGTGGGCACGCAAGGAGGGAGCAAGCCAGGGGGTCAAGGCGACGCAGAAAGCAGAGACGGAAAAACAACGGAATGCAGGTTCACATAGGGGAGTGGGGTATCTTAAGTGACGTAAAACGGATGGAGTGCGGAGAGAGGAGAAGCGAGGGGAGAGGAAATCGAGTTACATAAGGTAAGAGACTTGGGTGGGAGATATAGGAGCTCGGAGAAACGACGTTGGCTGGGGATGGAGGATGGTTCAAACTTCGAATCCTTAATTTCTCTTGAAGTCATGTTAAGGAGGTTGGGAGGAGCATAGGGAGCAGCTTGGGCTAGGAGGTGACGGAGGGAGAGGAGGAATGAGGGAATGAGGGGATGAGGGAATGAGGGAATGAGGGGGGTTGAGGGAGGGAGGCAGGGGTGGGCACGTACGACAATGGCGCCCACTCGCTGGAGCAGAGAGTAGCTCGTTCCGCGCAGAGCCACCTGCGGGGGATAAGGCGCACACGGCGGAGCCAGGCGCGGGGAAGGGGGAGCAGTAGAGGGGAGAGGGGAGAGAGTTTGGGGGAAAAGGGTTGAAAGGAGAAGCGGCTGAAACAGAAGCTTGAGCGTACAGGAGGGGGGAGAGGAGGGGAGAGAAGGGGGACGAGAGGAGGGGAGCAGGAGGGAGGGGTCGAGGGGGAGGGAGAGGACGTGGTGCAGCTCATTAGGAAAATTCTAAGGGCAGTACCGGGGACGGGAGGCGCTAGAGACGAGGGGAGGGAAAGCGGGGACGGAAGGGGGCCGAGCGCACTTGGGCCGGGGGAAGGGGGGGTGGGTGAGGGAACGGAGAAGGGGAAAGGGGGAGGATGGGGGAGTGGGAACGGGGGGATGGGGGGAGAGAAGAAGCGGGGGGAGCGCACTTGGAAGGCGTTGTCGGGGCACTTGGAGAGGAAGAGCGCGAATTTGCCGGCGTTGCTGGCGAGAGGCGCGCGGAGGGCGACGGTGGGCGCGGGCAGCCACACCAGCATGAAGTCCGCCACCAGCGCCATGATCTGCGCGGGCCGGGGACGGAAGGAGGGGCCGGGGGAGCGGGAGCGGGAGCGGGAGGGGGAGGGGGAGGGGGAGGGGGAGGGGGAGGGGGAGGGGGAGGGGGAGGGGGAGGGGGAGGGAGAGGGCGAGGGGGAACGGGAGGTGCAGAAAGAGGGGGTGGGAATGATGAGGGGGGGCTGCTATGACATGCTGCTACGGGAGGACCATCGGAAGTGCAAATGGTCGTTTGTGCTTGCACGATAACAACAGTAAACTGCCACGTCAGCAGTAACCAGCCACGTCAGCAACAACCTACCACGTCAGCAACGACAAAGTCGAGCTCCTTGAAGAAATTTTCTCGGCGCTTCTCGTACTCCGCTCCCGTCTGCGCCGCGGGGGAGGCGGGAGGTGCAGACGCGAGAGTACGCGGAAAAGGAAGGGGAAGGGGAATGGAAAAGGGGAATGGGAAAGGGTTAAGAGTAAGTGATAGGCAAGTGTGTGTCAGGCGCGAGAGGGGAGCACATAATGAGGAACGAGGGAGACAAGCAGAGCAGAGCATGTGTCAGAAGGTAAGCCGGCTCCGTTTATCCAGAGTAAGGTTAAGCGTCGAAGTATACGGGCGACAAGGCACAGATCGGGCCGGACCAGACGAGACGAGACGAGACGAGACCAGACTGGACCAGACGAGACCAGACGAGACCAGATCAGGCCGGACTGGTCGGACTATCAGTGGCACATTGTTAGGATTACGCTGTTTGTAGCACGATTTTGCGATTTGAGACGCATCGAAACTAGAAGCAGCAGAGCAGCAGTAATGCATCACCTACTTTGCGTTGCGCAACCTACACGGACTTGCCACATCACCCCGGATTCAGTACCTCCAGCCGACAAACAAAAACTAACACACGGCACACGGAGACACAGGGGCGCAATTCAGTACCTTGGTGAAAAGGCCCACGCCGCATTCGATCCCCACTTTGGTCATGAACAGATCGTCAGCCAGCAGACGCTCCTTGAACCCGTCGAACCGCAGCAAGTGCTTCAGCAGCGGCGATTTCTCCAGCGCCGCGAATCGTTCCACGATAATTCCCGGGATTCTTCCCGCCATAATCGCGTCCGCGAGATCCGCAGGGAGGGACTGCACGGTGCGCCCGAGTGCGGCGAGCGCGGCCAATGCGTCCGCGCGGTTCTTATCGCTGTCGCTCTCCCCGCCATTGCTGCTGCTGTCCCCTCCGCCGCCTCCGTCACCGCCGCCGCCGCTGGTGCCACCAGAAGCACCGTCTCCGCCGCCGCCGCCGCCGGTTTCCGTCGTCGCGTTGCCGTCGGCTGCAGACGGCGTCAGTTTAGATCCGTGGGTAGACGACGAAGAGAGAGGATTCGCGAGAAATAGCGACGTGCGATCGTTGGCGAATGAAGGGAGTGAGGTATCATCGCTGGGCGTCGTCGCGGGCGATCGGTGCAAGGGTGAGGCGAAGCCCACGACGACGATGTGCGATCGCTTGGAGGAAGGCCCCGCGGAAAACGCTGTGCAGAAGGCCCTCGAAGGCAAGTGAATCACGTTATGCGAGGCGATGTTCGTAATGCGTGACTCGGCATCCCATGTGGCGGCCGATCCGCTTGTCTTTGAAAGCGCCAAGCTTGCTGCTGCATTAGCGGACGACACGGCCGCCATTTGTGCCAAATTTCGACGATTATCGCGATCGGTCCGAAGATGGTTGCGGACTCGAGTGGAGGCAGAAGAACAAGCTTAACTTTTAGAACTCTGGCTGCTAAGCAGGACTCGAGATCGGTAGCAGCCAAGCAGCCTGGCCAGCAATATAAAAATTAGAAAAGGGGCATTTGTTGTGAGATGGGAGTTTTGAAGATGGATCATGCGAGGGGAGGGGGGGGGGGGGGGGCACACAATGGCCCAGTTCTACAGGTAGTGTTTCCATTCTCAGAATCCTCTAGGGTGCTTCCGTCTACAGTCAATTTAGGTTCGACAGCATGGTCAGCCCGAAAATGGTTGTCAAATCTGTTTGTTTCCGTCCGAACCAAACGGAATCCCCTGACTACAGAACAGAGCCAGTGTGGAGACGGAAACAACGAAATGGAAGGTGAGTACCCACCTTCCCTCCCTGGCAATATTTGTTTCCGTTTCCACGCTAGTGAAACCTCCTTTTCATTGGAAGCGCAGTGGCGTGCAAACGGAAACATGTTTCTGAGGATAACATGTTTTATGTCCCCTGAAATGCATATTGGAAGGTTAATTCGTACTCGATTTAGATGTTGCCAACCGTATGGGACGTCAAAACCAGCCCAACTCACTCATGGGTTTGGTTTGATTGTACTTTAGCTTTTGTCGATCTTGTTTTTGTATTTACATTTTAGACCTGAATACCGGGAATTTTCCAGCGTACTACACTCTGAAACAAGACAGAAGGAGGGACCCTCGCTTCCCATCTTTAGCACGAAACTCTTGACGGAAATGAGGGAGGTTTCCAGAGTTGGTTGGGCGTGACGAGGCAAATTGGAAAAAATCACGAGGGCTCCTGTGTTTCCGTTTCCACGCTGTGCCCGTCTGCCTGTAGAACAGGGCCGTTGGCGGAATCCTCGAAATTGGCACAACTTCAGAAGTTCGAATGTTCGAAGTTCGGACGGAAAGAGGGGGGAGTGCTGCTGGTTCGGTTCTTGCGGAGCGCGGGGAAAGGCTCGGGGGAACGAGTCGGCCTCGCGCAGCACTCTGCAACGGCACCGCTCACTGATCTTTCTCTTGAGATTGAAGTTATAGACGAGGGAGGGTAAATGGTAAGGAGAAAGAAAGAAAACACCTAGAAAGAAAAGGTAAGATCAAAGTAAAACCAAGTTGAAAAGCAAAAACAAGTTGAAAGGAAATCTTGAAGTATGGAGTAATTAAGAATGAAGAAAGTTTTGAAGGAGAAGATAGATAGACTTGATAGGGATAAAAGGGACCAAACAAGATTGGCTTAAAAGAAAGTATTGAAGAAAAGGTAAAGGGCTTGAAAGATACTTAAAAGGAACTTGTAACGAACTTGAGAATAAGAACTTGATTATTATGGAAAGAGCTTGAATATAAAACAACTTGATAATAGCAAATGAACTTTGATGTAAAAGAAACTTGGTGAAAAATGAGAGGAAGGGATAACCACTTACTTGAAAAGAGTTCTTATTATTATGTTGTAGAAGTTGATCTTCACTTCAAGCTTAAATGTTGTCTTAGTTGTTAATGAAGAACCTCAAAGCTTGAATGTTGAGAAGTTGATCTTGAATGTTGACTTGTAGATAATGTTTGTTGAATGAAGAGAAACCTCCAAGCTTGGATGTTGAGGTTGGAGCTTGGACCTTGGGTAGAAGAATACACCAATCTTGCTTGAAGCTTTAAAGTACATTAATCAAAGGGAGGTACATGGTAGGATCTTGAGATCAACTATCCTTGATGATCTAGAAGTAAAACTATGTGGCACAAACTTTTCTAGAATTGGAGCATATGGCTATGAGCTTGGGTTGGGAGAGGTTGGTGGTGATGATGAAGCCTTAGGAGTTGGAGCATAAGGAGGAGGACTTGAGGTTGGCCTTGAGAGAGTTTGAAGAACTTGTTGAGAGTTTGGGTATGAAGTAGCATTGAAGAAATATTTTTTTTGAAGAAATGAAGAGGACCCTTTTGTATTTGGTGGAGCTTGATGTTGGATGAAGGATGAGGAAAGGATGAATGGTTGTGATTAGTTGAGTTGGATAAGATGGGGGTGATGAATGTGGCCTTGAAGTGAAGGCTTGGTGAAGAGAATGAATGTGGCCTTGAAGTTAAGGCTTGGTGAATGGGATGTATTTGGCTTTGATTTTAAGGCTTGGTGAGTGGAATGAATGTGGCTTGGATTGGAAGGCTTGGTATGGAATCTTTTGTTTGATTGGTGGATAATGGGATGAGAAAGATGATGAGGATAGGAGGAGAGGTGAGGTGGAGGATTGATAGGTTTTGATTGGTAGGTTTTTGCTGTCTGGAGATAGGAAGGGTGTGGTGGCGAGTGGGCATTTTTGCAAGATGCCTTTTGCATATTCGGATTTTGGCTGACGGGGAAATTGCGGCGAAAAAATTCGCCACGTGAAATATTTCCCGCCACCCTGGTGCCACGCGAGCAGCAGCCACAGTTCACTGCAACACCCCCCCGCACTGCTGACCCTCAGAGCGAGACGAAGAAGGAGCGGAAGGGACAGCAGTGGAGAAGGACTCAAGAGACTCGAGCGGCACCAATCCAACACGGTGGCGTCCAAGGACGAATAGGTGCCGTGGAAGTATCTTAGTCAGAAAATCAGCAGCCTGGTCCGTGGTGCTGCAGTAGACCGGTGTCACAACCTTGTTCTTAATCAGCTCCCGAATGTAGTGATACTGGGTATCAATATGCTTGGTGCGTCCATGATAGACCGGGTTCTTGCTCAAGGCGATTGCCGACGTGTTGTCAATGTGGAGAACGGTCGGCTCAAGCTGGGGAAGACCCAACTCCATCAGCAACCCTCGCAACCACACATCCTCTCGTGCTCCTTGCGTCACAGCCATGTACTCCGCTTCCGTTGAAGATAGTGCCACACAGCCTTGCTTCTTCGATTGCCAAGAAATCGCTGCTCCCGCCATCACAAACATGTAGCCTCCCGTGGATTTACGCTTTGAAAATGGACCTGCCCAATCCGCATCCGTAAAGCCATGCAAGACACTACCATGCTCATGTCCATGAAAGAGGAGACCAAATGATTTAGAGCCGGAGAGATAGCGCAGGACACGCTTTGCAGCGTTCAAGTGCTGAGTAGATGGTGAGGAAAGGAATTGAGAAAGCATGCCCACAGCTTGAGAGAGATCGGGGCGGGTGCAGACGGATGCGTACATGAGGCTACCGACAATGCTCTGGTAAAGATTAATGTCGAGGGGGGAAAGGAGTGATGAGGGAGGTTTGGTGGAAGAAAAAATGGAAGAAGAGGATGAAGGCGCAAGAGCCTCGTGAAACTCGTCCCAGTCAGAAAGGGGTGCAGACTGAGAGGGCTGAAGGTCAGAAGTGGAAGGAGAAGAATGCTGGAAGTTAGAAGGGAGAGGTGTAGATGCAGGATTGCAGGTGAGAAGGCCGAAGCGAGAGAGGACCTTGTGAATGTATCGCTCTTGTGAAAGAAATAGAGAGCGAGAAGGACGGTCACGAATGATGTTCATGCCAAGGTAATATGATGGCTCACCCATGTCTGTCATGACAAACTCCTTGGTGAGCATACCTTTGATGTGGGTGAGAAGGGAGAGAGAACCTGACACCATGAGGATGTCATCCACATACACGATCAACCACAGTACCTCATGCACCTCCGTGTGCAGGATGTAGAGTGCAGGGTCATACTCAGACTGGGTGAAACCTTGTGCCAGCAGGGCAGACTCCAATGCGTGATACCAAACCCGTGGAGCTTGTTTCAGGCCATACAGGGACTTGTGCAGCCTGCAGACTCTCTTAGTACCATCATGATACCCATCAGGTTGAGCCATGTAGATTTCTTCCTCTAAAATGCCGTAAAGAAAGGCGTTGGAGACGTCCAGCTGGATGATGTAGAGATCCATTCGTACTGCCATACCAAGAAGAGCGCGGACACTGGTGAACTTGGCGACCGAAGCAAATGTTTCATTGTAGTCTTCTCCAGGAACTTGAGAATATCCTTTGGCGACCAAACGAGCCTTGAACTTGTCCAAAGATCCATCACCCTTCACCTTCACCCGGTAGACCCATTTTACTCCCACGAGCTTCTTTCCCTTGGGTAGTGGCTCCAAAGTCCAAGTCCCCCGGTCGAGTAAACTTTCCAGTTCTGCCTTTTCCGCTGCTAACCACTGCTCCTTAAAGGCTCCTGCCATAGCTTCTTTGCGATTGAGAGGCTCGGGTGGAAGTTGGGAAATGGCGAAACAGGTGGCGTGAATCCTGCATTGGAAGCAGGTGCGACCACTACACAAATGACTTGGAGGTGAGGTGAAAGTGGACACCGGCACATGAGAGGTGAAGTTCGCAGATGACGAAGTAGAAGATGAAGATGGTGCTGCAAAGTGCGACGTGCTCATCGCTGGTGGGTAGTTGATATCGATCCGGTTGGGTG